GCTATCCTCACTTACATAAATGAACTATAGTGTCCTGCACCCACTAGTAAAAAAATATCAAAAATTATATCTGGTCTGAATCATTTTTGGTTTGACTATATCCTTTGTTTTTTTCAAACTTAATTATGCCCATTAAAATATATTTTACTAGTTTTTGTTACTTTCACTGTTCATTTTTTGCTCTATGGTACATCATCTTTAATTTAATAGCATTAGAGCTGCTCCATTGCAGCAGCTTAGTACCGTAATCACTGTAATAATGCAGGGAACCACTCGTTATAAATCTCCTAACTGATATTTTCAGAAATAGAAGTCGCGTTTTTTCTTAATCCAAATGATGCGTGTGCTAAGTGAGTGAACATCAAAGATCACACAACAGAAGTGCGCGCGCACTCGCGCTCTCTCTCTCTCCCCCTACCGTTAAGTAACTTGTGCATTGTTTTACTTACTTGTTTTTTACATATCCGACCGAACTACAAACTTTCCAGTGATGTCTGTGAGAAAGGTATATTCACTCGACAAGCTCACGCATCTGCACTGCTGCATGCTCAATCCACTCAGCGTGCTTTGCTCATCAGCTCGCACACATCAGCTATACAGTCAATACTGAATGTTTAACATTATATTCATTGAATACATATACTTCGTAGACATCCTTAATCTCTAATAACTCCATTCTGCTGTCTGTCGTTGGTGTTTCATTGTCTGAATATGGCACTTAACACATGCTGTGTGGTATCGGCGTATTTTAACGAGTACGAGTACAGGAGACCAGTATCGGGCCCGACGATACCGATACCAGTATCGGTGCATCCCTAGTAGTAACTGATTACATGAAATCTGGATTAAGTAATCAGATTCCAAAAATTAATTACTTATAATTACATTAAATTATATTTGAAAAAATACTCGTAATCAGACTGCAGTTACTTTTTTATTGATTACATATTATTTACATAATAGCAATGAATTATTCATAATTTATAGATTCTCCCTAATTCCTCTTTTTCATCTTTTAAATGTTCCTTTCTACAATAGTCTACCACTTATATATTCTTAGAGTCTTCCAGTTTTGTGGACATTCACACAAAGACCAGTCACTAGTCAGGTGGCTACACAGCATTTGACCACTGGATTTGCAAAAATAATTTCAAGTGTTTCAACATTGCATCAACTTCTGATGAACACATTAATGTTTATTTGAATTATCACTCCGTAGGTTATTTAACCGTCTATTACAATGTCTTTGGAAGGCCTTTGTCTTTCAAACACATTCAAATGTACAAATTCACATTATTTCTTATTTACATGTAATGCAGGCATTCCCAGACTTTTTTGTCATCTGAACTTCTTTCACCTAATGTATTTACTCAAGTACCCCTGAGATTTTAAAATAAATATTTAATAATTAAGTAACACATTTGCATGTTCACGGTTCTCTGACATTGGTTAATGGTCACATGGCATGCAGGTAAACAAATAAAATAATTCATTTTTTTAGGAAGGGTTTTATTTAGATTTATGTTACTTTAAAATTATTTATTTTAATTTTACATTACATTGCATTTTTAAATGTTTTCATTTTAATTAATCAAAAAGTAGTCTGATTATATTACCTGAAATGTGTAATGTATATATATATATATATATATATATATATATAAAAACACATACTATACTATGGATGGGTTGCTGTAGTCTACAGAGGTTAAGGTTAGATTTAGCCTGGTTTCTAAAAAGATTCATAAACCTACAGATGTTCAACAAGTATAATTTATTGGTTTTGTCCAAGTTTTCTCATAATGAACTTTTCAAGAGTAGTAAACAGAAACTCCGTGATTATTTTGAGAAATGTGTTGTTTCTCTCTGCTTTCTCTCTTGCCTCCCTCTCTTTTCTTTCCCACAGCTCTGTTATGGCCTGATTCAGAGCCTCTGCTTCATATTTGATTTTCAGATCCTCCAGTTCTTTGCTTCTCTGCTCTTCATTTTCCATTAAGATTCGCTGTTTTTCCTCTTGAATTGTGATCTCTGCCTTCTCAAGCATTTCATTGGTATAAAAGTGCCCTCTATTCTCAGAAATCATCTTGTGCATTTTTTCAAAAAGTTGCTCAACCTGCATGGTATCTTTGTTCTCATTATTAAAAACATGATATCGCTTCTGGCATTGCTTTTTTTAACGTACTACTGTCTTTGGGAGGCTTTAAAACACATTACAATGCACAAATTCACGTTATTTCTTATTTGCATGTAATGCAGGCATTGCCAAACTTTCATCTGAACTCTTTCACCTATATTTACTCAAAATAAAATAAGTATTTTAATAATTAACTATCACATCATTTGCATGTTCCCGGGTCTCTGACATTGATGCAGATAAACAAATAAAATATTGAATTTTTAAATAAGTGTTTTATTTTGATTGATGTTATTTTTAAATTATTTACTTCAATTTTACATGTTAATGATTATCATAGTATCAATAAAATCATAGTATGTAGTAAGCCATTATGAGTGTGATTTTTTTTTATATTACAAAAAAGAATTACTCACCACTGCAAACTCATCTTTGTCCAAGTGTCCGTCTTTGTCTATGTCACTCAAATCCCACACCTGATCAGACAGAGTCATTTAATACTAATAATTTTATATTACATTTTTTATAAACATTTTATTAAATGATTACTATTATGATGTATTTTATTATAAATATTATCTTAATTTTCATTATCTATTGAAAGTTTACCTTTCCGAGCACATCCACAGGAAGTTTGGAGTTTATTAGTACTGGTTTGACCTTCTCACCAGACAGTAATCCGTTCACTGGGGCAAGACTTTCAAAAATACCATCAAATTTGCTCTTCTCTTCAGGCTAAAAAATAAACATGAAGAGGATTTATAATAAATCTTCATCAAATCTTTTGTAATATGTAGTGGCAATGAGAAGCTCATAGGATAAACAATGGAAATAGCTTACCCGCACCGCCCAGAGGCTCTCATTGGTTGATGTTACAGAACTCAGTGACGGGCTACTGTGGTCCTTCTAGAACAGAGATGAGAAACCTGTGAGCTCATACTGCCTGGAAAACTATGATATCAGCTCTCAGCACTGACACTTACGAATTTTGGAGGGGGAACAGGGAGGTTTAGACAGGAAAGGCTGATGTCTTGTCCACTCTGCACACAGGCCACAAGTCGCAGAGCAACGTAAAATCCCTGAAAACAAACCACAAGCAATTCAAGTCAGCATCCAGTTTCAGATCCCGACTGATGCTCTTATAAACCATGAAAGCTTTACCTGTTTATCCAAAAAACCTTTGCCATCCGGATCAGCTAAATCCCAGATCTGACAAGCAGATAATTACAGATTATTATTATCCAAGCATCATTTCGCAACAAGTTTTACCCAAACACCAACCTTTCCTAATGTGATGTCAGGCAGGCCTGATTTCTTCAAAAACAAGGCAGCCTCTGTAGGTCCAACCCTCCCGGTGTTTCCCGGGTCCACCTTCAAACAACACACATAAAGATGATGAAATATAGCCCGACTGATTTATCGTTTTGCAGATTTTATCGGCCGATATGAGCCTGTTGCAGATATATCGTTATCGGCGTATATGCCGCAGATATGCCACCAATATGAACATTTTTTTTACAGAACAGATAACGCAGATAAAATGCTTGTAAATGGTGTAATTACTTAGTTTGTCCAGCAGAGCGCACTCCATTGTTTGCTACTGGTGACCCAGGTCACTGTAGTGACACCAGCCGACCCTTTCACTTCAGTAAGGAGGTCTCTTGTTCAGGCAGCAGCAGACAAGCAGTCAAGCGGTCTTCACAACTCAGAGTCAAGCGTTGTCTTAACGGTAAGTTGCTAACTAGTTTGTGAAATACATAACTTACTGTAAAATTAATAAACAATGACCCCATAAGTGTCCCTTTTCAATACAAGTCCAATATAACATTAACCCCGTCCCTTAAATCTGCCATGTCACTCATGCTTATCACATCGGTCTCATCACATTTCCTAAGTCAGCATAGTTTGTCAGTACAGTCAGTAACGCAGCAGATTGAAAAGTTTGTATCTTTCTGCAGTCCAATAGACAATAAATGGTGATTTCGCGCTATGTTGTCACCTAGTTGGTGAGACGCAATGCTATAAAGTAAATAAACAATGTCCCCGACTTTTACTCTCACAATGAGCTTATCATACTCGTTTGCTACATGAATAGGTCCCTATGATTTCCGCGATGCAGAAAACGTGGACGGAATCGCGGAATCCAGTCATAAAAACGGAATTTACTGTATAACATGGAATTTGTCATTTTTGATGAATAAATAAAAAACAGGTCAGTACATTTAAATCAAATCGTGATATAAACTAGTGTCTGTGAATATTAAACTGCAAAAAGACTATTTAAATATGAATCCTCATGTTCTGCATGTTCATTTGATTACCAGAAAATACACAACACAGAATTTGTGTTCAGTGCACTGATGTCAGACTCATTTTGGATAATAAAGTTTATTGTTAAATACTCTTCCTCCATTACATATCTTTGCCACATCATTATAAGCGTTTCATCACCACATTTGAGTGATCATTGCAAAAAATGTGTTTATGTATATATATTATGTTTATGTAACCCATATCGGTCGGGCTCTAGCTTTTTGTTCCAAAAAAGATTGATATACTATAAAACCGATCACTATGTGTTCGCCAACAGAATTATGGTCTTACCTGTCTGTAAAAGTTCTCATATACAGGGTTCCCGCTTGACAGCTAAGAGAGTGAGGAAAAGAAAGAGAAATAATATTACTTAATAATAATTTATTAATAATAATTAGTATTACGATTAGGTAATATAATGCACAGCGCTGTTATTGTTAACTAAAACTGTTAAAAATGGTTAACATTAATTGAAACAAAATAAAATATAAATATTAAGACGAAAAAAAATTCTTTTTATTTTTAGGTAGTTGCCAAGGCAAGTTTTCTAGTATTTGTTAATTTTGTAAAGTTGGAAGACCAAAATTACTAAAACTAAACTGAAATGAAAATAAATTAAAGCTAAATATAAGTATAGTGTGTTTGTATATATATATATATATATATATATATATATATACACACACTCATAACAAAATTATTAAACATTTAACTACAATTAAAATGAAAACTGAAAATATAAAAGTAAAAGCTAATTTAAAATATGAATAACTACTATAATATTAAACAAATAATACTACACACAATGCAATAATGCAATAAAATAATGCTGTTGATGATATACATAATTTGACATGGTGACCCATACTCGGAATTAGTGCTCTGCATTTATCCCATCCAAAGTGCACACACACAGCAGTGAACACACACACACCGTGAACACACACCCGGAGCAGTGGGCAGCCATTTATGCTGCGGCGCCCGGGGAGCAGTTGGGGGTTCGGTGCCTTGCTCAAGGGCACCTCAGTCGTGGTATTGAAGGTGGGAGAGAGCGCTGTACATTCACTCCCCCCACCTACAATTCCTGCCGGTACGAGACTCGAACCCACAACCTTTGGGTTACGAGTCCGACTCTCTAACCATTAGGCCACGACTTACATACAATTGAATCCATTACTATTCATAAGGCAGTATATAGTCAGGTTACTGAAACTTAATAAATTAAAGCTAAATATAAATATTTAAGCAACAAAAAATAATATGACAAAGCACATAACAATATTATTAAAAATGAACTAGAATTAAAATAAAAACTGAAAATATAATAGTAAAAGCTCATTCAAAATATTAATAGCTACTATCATAAATAATGCCAAATATAAATAATACTACAATAACAATGACAAATGCAATATTATAAAATAAAAATGTACATATAAATAATACTAAACAATGAAATGCAACGTAATAATAATAATTGACGTAATGAGTTTTTTGCATTTATTCTAATATGTGTTGTGCATACACCTGTATTTAATATACAATTCAACCCATTAACTTACAGTTCATAAGGCAGTACAGTGAGATTACTGATGCTCACTAATTCCCATCGCCACTAAGCTAAACTAGCGGTTCAACATCCGTTATCATATACAGTATGAGAGCTAACAGCTATACTATAATGTTGTTCATTACAATTTAGCAACTTTTATTATTGTACTATGAACACATTCTGAAATTATGACTTTATACGTAAAGCGCCCTGACAGTTAACGTTAGTTTTTAGCGCTTATGATGTTCTGATATATTGCGGCTAGCTATTTGTATTTGTTAAACTTTGTTTACTGTATTTCTCATTCATATAAATGGCAGTTATCTTTACATGTTCTTGCTACTGAATGTTTATCGAAAATTTCATTGAAAACGACATTGTTATTTTCGTATTTTAAGACGTGCATGCGATTTAAAGCGAGCTAATCAGTTAGCAATCTGAGCCCGATCTACGAGGCCAGGGAGATTTTCGCTTTAAATGTCGATAAAACGACCCGGTAGCGCAAGTAACGGGATCGATTCGTATCTATTTCTTAGATTTATTTCTGCATGATGATGTTTTTCCTCATTATTCCTTTGAAATAAGTGTTTTTAGCTGGTATTACCTGAGTGAGGGTCGCGAGAGCAGCCATCTTTTCCCTGTTGCTGCGGAAACGGCGGGTGAAGGAATGAGGGGGGGCTGAAACAGATCGGAATGTTCATCCATTCACACAGACGCTAATAATAATAATAATTATTATTATTATTATTTATTATTATTATTAACAATAAATAATAACAATAAAACTAAGAATAATAAAAATAAGAATAAGAATAATACTAACAATAATAATAATAACAACAACGATAATAATAATAAATGTTTTCTTGGGAACTAACTAAAATAAAATAAGTTTAATCTGGAGTATTAAAATTCAATTTGAAATAAAAATAAATTAACGTTAAATAGACATATTTAAAATAATACTGAAAAAATAAACAATGAAATAAAAATAATACAATAAAATAATAACGAAATAACAGAATCGCATAACAAAATTATTGAAACTAGAATTAAAATGAAAAATACAAACATAAAAGTAATGGTTAAAATATAATTAAATATTATACTACTGTACTAAAATAATATTGATAATGCAATATTATAATAATGTACGTAATTAATCATTTGTTTATTCTAAAATGTGTTGTGCACATAACACTATTTAATATACCGTACAATATATTCCATTACAATTCATAGGGCAGTATGTAAAAGTAATAATAATAATAACTTACAAACAATAAATAATGTATAAAAGCAAATTACAACTTAAACGTAATCAATAATATTGCAGGTAAATTAGAGGGTTTTAAGGCAGTCGTCATTTTTAAGTTGCTTTAAGGATTGACAAAAAATGTTTTAAATGGAACAAAATTTGGAGAAACTTTAACAAATCTATACATTTCTGTAAATAAAACGGACATATAATCAAAAAAGTATGGATGCGTAGTAACCTGGCAAGCTTTTAACACCTGTCACTAGGCTAATAATTTACATTTTGGCCTATAGTTTCATTTAAAAAAACAATTAAACTGAATACATTTACATTTAGTCATTTAGCAGACGCTTTTATCCAAAGTGACTTACAAATGAGGGCAATGGAAGCAATCAAAATCAACATAAGAGCAATGATATACAACTGCTATAACAAGTCTCAGTTAGCTTAACGCAGTACACGTAGCAGGGGTTTTTAAAAATAATATAATAAATAAAAAGAAAACAGATGGAATAGAAAAAGAATAGAGCAAACTAGTGTTAGATGTCTTTTTGCTTTTGTTAATTATAATAATTTAAAACAAGCAGCAAATGAATAGAGTGCAAGTCTAAAAGGGACAAGTGTAGTTTTTTTTTTTTTTAAAGAATAGAATTAGAATAGAGAGTGCTAGAGTTAGAGGGTCAAATAAAGATGGAAGAGATGTGTTTTTAGCCAATACTTGAAGATGGCTAAGTACTCAGCTGCTCGGACTGAGTTGGGCAGGTCATTCACCAGGAGGGAACATTTAATTTAAAAGTCCGTGAAAGTGATTTTGTGCCTCTTTGGGATGGCACAATAATACGCCGTTCACTTGCAGAACGCAAGCTTCTAGAGGGCACATAAGTCTGAAGTAATGAATTTAGGTAAAGAGGTGCAGAGCCAGTGGTGGTTTTGTAGGCAAACATTAATGCCTTGAATTTTATGCGAGCAGCTAATTAATCTTAATCATTAACATTAATTAATGTTAATGATTAAGGCGCTTAATCTTAACATTAATCTTCCCTTTCCAACGAAACTAGAACAATTCAAATATAAATGTAAGTATCAGCAAAATCTTCAAAATATCAGCAAATTACTTAATTTTTTCAAGCAACAAATGTGCAATTTTGTGTGCAGAATATTTTATTTTATATTTTAATATTATCCGTTCGTGTTGATCCATGAAATCAGAATAACATTTTATTAAAGGTATTCAAAGCAGTTAGGGTCACAAATATACTATTACTATTGACATTATACTGTTTTTTATGATAAACAACCTCAAAAACCGTAATAAAGATAAATTCTCATATTATCGACTCTAGCCATTCAAAAACACTCCGCAAGCATGCGGGTCCGGTTCCTCTCTTCCGATTGGTCGAGCGCCCCTCGCAACTGGATTCCTATTGGTTGAGCCGCCCTTCTGCAGCGCCCCGCCATTGGAACCTGGAAACAGCGCCACAATTTATTTTCGAGTTGTTGCGTCTGCTGAATGCGTTCGTCTTGTATTTCATTGTTTATTGACAACAACTGGTATTTCTCAATTTTCTGACAAGCCAAACGAGTTTAATTATTAACTCACGGGTCGTTACACGCGGCTTGGCGCGGTTAATACCGCTTGAAAGGCTGGAAGGACAGTTTTAACATTTGTGATCCGTTTTAACGCTCACAGTGTTTAGATTAAAACACGACGAAGGCATGAGCGAAGCGTTCAAACAGCCTAAAGGTAAGCTATTATATATCCTACATCAGTTATAAGTATCTCTGAACCATAAGTTATAGGTTTTTACGTGTTTTTAGTAGTATTGCCACGTTAGCATGTAAGCTAAGCCAACTAACCTGCCAAACGTACAAAAATATCACAACTGAGTATCTGAGATGTTTTGAAAATGCATTACTCAGTGCTATATCAGATTCATTTCAGCTTTAGTTCATTCAAAAATCGTATTTCCACAGGATGAATCGCGTACAAGTGGATTTTAAAGGGTTGCCAGCCCACATCTTGGAGAAGAGTGTTAGAGCAGAAACCCTTCAAAACCTCAGGTAACTACATCAGGGTTCGCATGCATTGCACCCAAACCTCTATTTTAAAACTTTGTTGTTGTTGTTGCTGCTGTTAAATGAAAGTAATATTTTTTTCACGTGTTTAAGGTCATCGGACAATGTCCTTACTCCACTGCCATTCCCAAAATCGAAAGTCTCTCTCTGGGATCCATCTCCCAGTGGTGATGTTGTCAGTCTGCATTTCTCATATTACAGGTAAGTCTTTGTGTCATCTGTATTTTTGGATGAACCATATTTTTTATAAAAGTGAATGTCACTATCAACGAAAAAAAAAAGAAAAACGCATTTTTAAAGCCCTGCAAACCAGCCGATTATAGTATTATTATTATTAATTTACTATTATAGTATTCATTAATAATTTAATAATTTTAGTTTTCATTTTAGTTTTAGTAATTCTGTGTGTTTGTCATGTTTATTTTTTATATTTCTATTTAGCTTTAATACATTTTTATTTAAGTTTTAGTAATTTTAGTACTAATGTCACCATCGATGTCATGTGAGTACTTTCTGGGGAAAAAAAAACACAATCTTGATTGATTTCATGTACTAGGGATGATGATGGTGAAATTAATTTTGCATTTAGCCTTATTGCTTCCTATAGTGATGCATATCACTGTGCTTTTATAATTAACATTTAAATACATTTTTGGAATGTATTTAATTTGGAATGTATTTAATGTACTTGTCTTGCAAGTTAATTATTAAAGTAATTTTAGTACTTCAACTTGTTGTAGAGGCAACATTTCTAGTTTTTTGGGGGTTTTTTTAGTTTACAATTTTCATCTAATATTTTATTTTACTTTAGTTAAAGGCACAATATGTAATTTTCGCTGCTAGAGGGCGCGTATTCAAGATAAACAAAGAGACAAAGGTGTAGTTTGATGACGCTGTGACTGTGTGGGGAATCATGGGAGTTCATTCATCCCCACAGCCGATGCAATCTGACGGGACTCGGGCAGAAATCATGTTCATGGATGAGCTAAAGATTTATTAATGTAGTAGAATGAAGCGGGGTGAAGCTGAAAGCCGTCGAAGTGAAACGAGGCCACTGAACGTGCGTGACACACGGCTCGAAAGCAGCGGAGCTTTTATTACGCCACAGTCGACCGCTTCCGCTCCTTCCGGTCGTGAGTATATAAAGCAGCGCTGTTTTATCATACTAGATACATTTGAAAGTTCTGTTATAATGCTACTCTGTGCGGTCGTCACCTGTCTATTAAAACGCACAACATATTAAAGCGTCTTTGGTGTTTCCATGTTTTCTACAAAACAAAACCGGAAATCGAGGGGTTATGACGTCATTGTCAGGTGACACAATGACACTATGAACACTGTCCGTGTCACTAGTTAAAATTGCTTATTTTTCTGGATTTAAACATTCTTCGAAACATTTGGGATAATGTAAGTACACAAGTCAGCAAAATATATAACACTGTTCTAGTGGTTTTTGGATATTTTAATAAAAAAATCTTACATATTGTGCCTTCAAAATTTAAGTTGTTTTAGTTAATAATGACATCTGATCTGAGGATTTAAAAAAAAAAAACACTTTCATTTTATGGCTCAATGTCCTCAGTAACATTTGGTGTATTTCAGGAATCCGAGACTGTTACTTGTGGAAAAAGCATTACGTTTAGCTCACCGGCATGCTAGACAGACAAACAAGCCTCGGTTTTTCTGTTTCCTGCTCGGGACGCTGGCAGTAGACAGTGGTTAGTATTGAGAAGGCTGGTATTTGGACATCCTATAATCATTGTTTGATATTTAAACGTGTTGCGTCTGCATTTTACTAACTAATATTTTCTTTTCCTAGATGAGGAATGTGTGACGATAACCCTGGATCGTTTTGATCCGGGCAGAGAGCAGACGGGATGTCCTGGGAAATCTCCAACTGCCCTTCTCCCCGGAGACATCCTTGTGCCATGTGTATTTGAAGCCCAGCATGCTACTGGCAGCACAGTGCACTCGAGGGAGGATTTGAACGTTTCGTTTAAGGTAGTTGATCTGAGAATTACTGACAGCACATGTTTAACAAAGGCGGGGGCTCTTTCCTCCTGTTTCTGTGGAAACGTATTGAGGCATAATGGTACTCAAGGTCACCCTGTAACCTGTCAGTAACGGCTGCCCTGATTGTGACACAGTGCTCCTTAGAGACAGGTGATTAAGTGTGTTGCACTGTTCCCATCTGGTGTGGTTTCCTTGGTTTCTTAATTTGCTTTGAACGGTTCTTAATTTAATTTAACCATGTTATTAATCTAAGACATTTTAATAATTTTATTCATTTTTAAACAGTTCGGGGTCATTACGTTTT